CCTGTTAATCACCTGCTGAGCTCCAAACCTCTGCTGCATTTCTACATCTCCACCACCAGGTGACACCACCGGGCTTCTCATCAGTGAGGAACGAGCCAATCACAGCAATTCTTACTTACAGGATATTCAGTTACTCATAATAAGCAGTGTTGTTCAGCAGCTGATGCATTTACAAAATTCTTCCTTCAGCTACAAAATGTTCATGTTCAAGTTTGTTCAGGTGACTTTGAGTGATCCTCAGTGTGCGCCCGCCCCGGGGTGAACGCCCGCCCCCTGGTGGACCATCGTCCTTATACTTCCACCTGGTTTATCATCAGCTTTAACCCACCAAGGTCATCGTCGGTGACGGCCCCGCCCTAAACCTTCCTGTCCTGAGTCTTTGAATCAAGTCGAGTTTTATTGTCAAGCCAACAGTAAACACTCAGGTACACAGCGGGACGAGATATCGTCCTCCGGGATCGAAGGTGCAAACTGTGAAAATAAGATGAAAGAATTCACACAAACAAATATACAGAAGATAAACTAAGAATAAGAACAACAGCACTGAATAGACAAGAATAAGAATAAATGAATATAATCAAGACTGCTGATTGTCAGTGCGTGTATACAGCGTGCTGAGTCAGCGCTAATGTGACGCTGCTGAGCCTCAGCTGTCCACAGTTTCATCCACACCAGGCTTTAATCCACCAAACACACAGACGAGCGCTGCTGAGCGCGTGCAGTGGCGCTCTGAGCTGATGTCGTGTCCTCCTGTTTGTTCCAGTGTTACTTCTTCACTGTGGAGTTTGGGCTCTGTAAGCAGGACGGCAGGCTGAGTGCGTACGGCGCGGGGCTGCTCTCCTCCGTCAGTGAACTCCAGGTGACCTCCGACCTCCGCCCTGCACCTTCATCTGACGATTCTTAAACGACAGATTATTAGTGATTTTTGTGTTTTCTTAAACCCACTGAGTGGTTAAAAAACCCCACATGGCATAAAAACACCATCTTAAAACTCCTCCCATTTTTGTGTACTTGTATTTTACTCGAGTATTTCCAGGTTTTGATGCTTAAAACTTCAACATGTGAGATTTTACTTCGCTGCACTCACGACTCGCTCTCAGTGTTTGGTTTTTGGCAGAAGCAGCACCGAGCGTCCTCCAGCTGATCCAGTCTAACACCAACCGTTGCTAAGCTAGTTACCTGACGCAGCAGTCACCTGCGCTCAGGTTTCAGTACGTTTGGACTTTATCTAAAACATCTGTGCACATCTGTCCTCCCAGCACGCTTTGTCCAGCAGTGCCAACATCCTTCCTTTTGACCCCACGGTGACCTGCAACCAGGAGTGCATGATCACCACGTTTCAGCACGTTTACTATGTGGCCGACAGTTTTGAGGAAGCCAAGAACAAAATGAGGTGAGCTGCAAGTTTGTGTGAGACGCACCGTGACCCCTGACCCCGTGTGTCCCTGATTGTGGTTCTGAGAGCTTCAGCTGAGGATGTAAAGTGTGTGCTGTGTCTGCAGGGAGTTTGCCAAGACGCTTCGACGTCCCTTCACGATACGCTACGACCCCTACACTCAGAGCGTGGACGTCCTGGAGGACACCAACAACATCAACAGCATGGTGAAGGACATCCGGCACGAGCTGGACATCGTCGAAGACGCTCTGAACCGACTCAGCAAAAAACTGCAGAGCGTGTAAAGAGGTGCTCGCAGTAAAGCCGCTGACAGCCGAACACTGCTTCCACGCCTCTGCTTCTGCTGCTGCAACAAAACACCTCCTCCTGAGGGGGAGGGGCCTCCTGAAACATGGACACATTTATTGTTTGTAGGCTTAGCTGTAAAAATGCGCACATGTGCCGTGATAATCTGTCTGTAATCATGTGAATTTGTGTGATGATCTATAAAATACACATAATCGTGTGTGAGGTTCTGTTTGTGCTGCTGCAGCATTTAATGCGACGCAGCACCTGTGTCCATTAGATCAGCTGCACACACCTACACGAGGCGTCACAACAACTTTTAAAGCAACAAAGTGTTGCTGGGTGTGCAAAGAGCAGCATTTAGTTGTGCATGCTTCACACCAGCAGAGGGCACCACTCAGCCACCCCACCAGTATCTACAGCTGAGGACCAGCAGCACCATAAAAGCACTTCACTGGTTAAAAATAGCTCACAGAGATATCGTCACTGAGCAGCAACCTTCAGCTTGTGATTGGGAGCAGATGATTCCTCTGCTCATCTCCAGCTTCATCTTTTTATTCCTGGACTCTCTCCCAGAGCAGCTTTGCATGATTCATAGTTCAAAATAATCCTTCTTTACCTGCTGGGCCTCCTGCGACGCCTCAGCTCATCCCTTTAGCTCCTCCCCCTTTAAGATACATTTTTTATTGGCTGCTTCTCACAACCAAAAGGTTTGAACGGCGGGTGGGTGTGGCTCCTATTCCCTCTGTGACATCAGACAGGTGGAAGAATAGAAAGCGTTTGGAGCAGCTGAGTTTGGGCTCAGAGACGTGTCATTAGAAACTTTGTGCTTCTGATTTTGTGTCACGTAGTTCTTTTCTTATATGAAACCTTATTTGTGTGGTCCTGCAAAAACAGCCTAAAGTTATATTTTAAAAACATGTTTCACTTCACGCTTGACTGAAAGTTTGATACCAAACTTTAAATGTGGCCTGAACATCACTGCAGGTACAGTTAAAATACTGTGTGTATAATCAGACCGATGCAAACTGGAAGGAAGCTTCACACCAACAGGAAACAGGAAACACTGACCTGACAAGTCCTGTCACTGACTGTGATGTTCTGCCCTCCGAGCTCATCAGAGACTACGAGCTCACATGTAGAAGCACAGAGTCCACAAAGAGCCCTTAAAGTCAGCAGCGAGAGGCTAACACAGCGCTGCACGTCCCGAGCTGATTGGTGGATCTTTGGTGGAGGCAGCTGAAAAGCCAGCGGTGTCATATTAAAGGAAAAAACTGAAGTTTGTGTTCAAGCTCCAGTGTTCAGAGAAGCTGGACTGTTAGTGCTCGTTCTGTTCAGCAAAGAGTCAAATTTAAACAGCAGCGAGAGAAAACGGTTGACATCGAGTCGTGGCTTTGATTGTTAGGAGCTCGTATGAGAGCCGTGCTTGTTGTTAGGAATCACTGAGTATTTACGTCAAGAATGAATATTCTCTGTTCAAATATCATCACGTCCTGCACAGTTTATCCACCGTGCTTCATCCTGATGCCTGGAGTTATGGACACGAGGAAGCTCTTCAGCATTTCAGTCGTTTCTCAGGAGAAGCTCTGAGTTTGCTCGAGACGAAACCTCACCTGGCAGGTGGCTGCCCCCTCCCCTCCTGTCTGACTCTGTTTCACATCCTCGTATCAGAGTTGACGTCTCTCCAAACATAAAATATTTGTGACGTGAAACACAGCTGACTTTCTAATCGATCGGTGATCAATGACAGGACAGAGGAAGTGATCACGGAGGATTTATTCTGAACTCAGAACCGACCAGTGTTCATAATTCTGGCCTCTGCTCTGTATTTATCGGTCGCCATGGTGACTCATTGACGGCTTTGTGATCAGAAACAACAGGAACAGAAAACTCTGAGTTTAAATTTACTGCACACACACACTGCTCACAAACCAAAGGTCAGAGGTCGTCTCTGAGTCTCTGTCAACAGCAGAAACAAGACAAACCAGTGACTCCAACAACACAGCAGAGTCCAGGACAAAGTCCCCCAGTGTCACTGCAAACAGCTGCTTACAAACCCACAGCTGGAAGGTGATTGGCTACAGCGTTCCTCGCCACCCAAAGCACAAAGGGGGGCGGGACTACACCCAGCGCCTGAAGAGCAGCACACCACCTGTCTGAACAAACTGCTGCGTCACGTGGAAGCTTCAGGTTATCAGACGCTCGTCTCTCCTGGAGCATCTCGAGACGCTCTGTTGACTATCAGCTGTTGCACAAACAAATCACTTCCTGTGCTCATGAGGTGATGTTGGAGATCAGATAAAGTTGATCACATATTGATTTCCTGTGGCCAGTAGGAGGAGCCATGATTGTGACTCGGTGCTGGTGAGCAGATGTTTCTGCTCTGACTCTTACCAGACTTGAATTTGAACATTTTCAGGTGTCGTAGGAAAACCCGACGTCACCACGCAGGCGCTCGGATGACAGGGAACAAATATGGAGTCAGTGTGTTAAACAGCTGGGAAACAAACGGAGGCTTTTCTTTTCATACATGTGCATAAACGACAGAGCCACGGCTGCTTTTACTTCACCACGTGTGCAAGAAGAACTGCAGGTTGTGTCATTTCCACCACGTCTGTGCATGTGCAGGATCTGGAGCATCATCCGGGCCCAGCATGTGACTCGTTTTTGTAAACAATCATGAAAAACACTCTTTACACTTTCAGAGCTCACCTCACTTTGTTCATGAACCGCACAAACCTGAAATCCACAGTGGGTGTATTTTAGATGCGCACGTGTGGATGTGACACGTACAGCTCAATCAACATGAAACTGGAAGCTGAAGCTCAGTGAGGCAGAAAGAAATCCGCCTGGACTCCAAACCTTCCAGCCGGAACCCGGGAATAATGTTTGACTCACAGTTTAAGTTGCTCATGACTCAAGTGGGAACTGAATCAGAGACAAACTGATGCCGTCATATCCAGCTGTGACGCACCTCAAAATGTACGTAAAACTTGGACTCAGGGCTGAGTCAGACCTCTCTCACTGTCAATGACTCGAAATCCTTTTACTTGTTTTGAAGCACTTCGTGGTCTCAGTATCTGTAGGGAACGACGAGAGGACACACAACAGTCTGACACCAGCCAGACAAAGTAACAAAGATAAGCTTTCATTAGGCTGACGGCAAAAATTCAACAGGACGAACCAAAAAAACAAAATCCAGAAACAAGAAGACAAAGAGAGGAAGTAAAAGACAAAATAAATCAGGGATGAACATTTAAACAATGTAAAGAGATTTCTCAGACAGGACTCACGACAACTGTAGAACGTGGTTGTATCACACACACACTTATATATATACACACACACAGCGGTCCCCATAAATGGACTGGCCGGTCTGCCCAATGGTGATTTTTCGTTTTTATGGGCTGATGCTGGGAGATGTATAGAAATCCATTATTGTACATAGTAATTTTTTTTAGGGTCCCATCATAATTTATTCAGAAGTAACTAAGTACTGTACATGATGGCAGTATTTTCCCACATTTTCTAGATCCTGCACTAGTACTGTGTGTAAAAAGTCAGTTAAGTTTTCTTCTTTCTCACCTGTCTTTCTGTCTCCTCTCACTTTTTAAAGGTTACCATGTTAGAAAACATATTTTGCGCTGCCATGCTGTTTATTGATGTGGTAAATAAACGGTTTATGAAAATAAATCTAAATCTGTCATCAGTAATCAGTAATGATCATGTCTCACCTCTAGTCTTCTCTGTCTTAATTTCAGGTTTTCACCAAGTGTTGTAGAGGTTCAGGAGGTTAACTCGACCATCAGTCTACTTTCAGGTACTGTTTAGAACCAGTCTGTGAAAATATTGTCGGGCATAAACCGGTCTGTAGCGCAAAATAAAACTAGTACCGGTGCCGAAAAAAAAGAAGATTTATTCATAACACACGTGAAAAGACCCAGGGAAAAAAGTAAACGATAAAAACGATAACAAAATAACGCTGAAAACCGATAAAAACCCTGAAAACTATACATTTCACACCTGAGCCTCAACTCTCGCGGACTGATACCGGTCCGAGGCCCGGGGGTTGGGGACCGCTGGTTTAGAATACCAAGAATAGGGAGGATGGTGTAGGTTAAGTTTATTAGACTGATGCATATATACCAACAGGACAGTGTCCATCACTGTGACAACAGCGTTTGTTTTCACTCAAATTATTTATGGTTTTTCCTATAACACCTGGGGGGCCGGTCACCAGTCAAAATGCCCGGGCCGATGTTTTGCCCCAGTCCAGCCCCGGCGGTCTCTCGCTGTATCGCGGTTCATCTTTCGCAGTCTCGCTGTTTCGCTGATTTTTTTTGTGCAATTTTGCATACTTTCCCCCTTTTTTCCCTTTTTTATACAGTGCATTGTGTTCTGCGTCCTGATTGGCTGTAGACCATTGTCACTCAGTCTCGTGTCTCGTGTACAGCACAGAGCGCGTTCAGCTCGTCACATTTACATAAATCTTCTATCTTAGCTGTGTGACTCATAAGTGCTGGACTGTTTGTTCTCCCCAACAAACAACAATGTTGACGAGACGTCGTCACTGCGGGTGTCTTTGGTTTCCTCCTGTAATACTGGACTTGTTTGTTTGTTTTTTACGCAGGTTTGAACTTTGAGCGCATAAACAAGAGAAAACTGAAACTGTTCATGCCTGTCTGCGAAAAATGTATAAAGTGTGTAGTGACGGGTTTTACAACATCTGGAATAGTTGTAAAAAATAAAGTTGGCTACTTCGCGGATTTCAGTTATCGCGGCTTATTTTTAGAACGTAACGTAACGTAAAACTTAAAAACAATACGTGTGTGTGTGTGTGTTTAAATCCTTTAATGTGGTTGGCTCCATGACCTCTGAACCCCGGCGTCCCCCTGTGTTACAGCCATGTTCGCCTTTTTGGGCTTTTGAGTGAGAGTTTCAATATTCAGGCTGCTTGTGTGTGTGTGTTATATTGTGTAACCCTGTGGTTCATGCGCAGCTCTTTGGTCAGTGTTGTTGTTTTAAATGTGTTTCCAGATAAATTTGGAGAAAGAGACAAACATGAACATAAACGAGGCAGAAATAATCGAATAGTTTAAAAAATGCTTTTGGTTTCGTTTGATTACTTTTTGTTCTGTTATCTTCAGCCGTAACGCCCCCCTCCCCCCTGCAGTCCCCCTGAAAGCCCCCTCCTCTCCCCGGGAGAGCCCCTGTGCCCCCCCCCGTCTCCCTCCAGTGAGTGAGAAAGAGAGAGCCTTCGGCGATGACGTAATCAGGAGGGTGTGTTTACCGTCTGTTTCTGTGTTTGTAAATAAAATGTAACTAAATTGCGACTCATTAACACAATGGGTTAGTTTGGCTCGCGCTCACCACCCTGCGTTCTGATTGGCTGCGCCCGCGCTTTGCTCCTCTCCGATTGGCCGCTGTTTGGCTGCCAGGCGGAGGGAGGAGGGAGGGGTTGGGTGTTGCCTCGGTGTGCGAGCTTCATTCCAGTGTTGAGCTCTCTCCGGAACCGTCGCTCCGTCCGTCTGCTGCTCTTCCTCTTGCTGTGCCTCTCTGCGCCGAACAGACCGAGTCCCGGAGCATCATGGGAGTGGAAGGCTGCACCAAATGCATCAAATACCTGCTCTTCTTCTTCAACTTCATCTTCTGGGTGAGCACGAGCGGGTGTGTGTGTGTGTCTGTGTGTGTCCCCTAGCTGCTGAACATCGTCACGTCCCCCACCCATTACCGCGAGGCCTGCTCCGGGACGCGCGCGCACATTGTCGGCAGCAGGGACTCGCGGTGGGGAAATCACGGTCAGCGCGGGAGTCGTGGGGGAGTCGTGCGCGCGCTCTGCTTACGTAACCACATTGTACCTCCGAGGCAAAGTGTGGGTACTGCGCGCCGACGTGCACAGGTGGGGACAGATCAGGTGTGTGACCGCGGGCGACGTTCACTGCTCGGTTTGTGTGGCAGGAAAAGTCAGAGCTGGAAGTTTGGTGTGTTTGGTGTGCGGGCTTTGTGTGGATCACATCCTCCTGTGTGTGTGTGTGTGTGTGTGTGTGTGTGTGTGTGGGTAGGGTGGGTGGAGGGGTTTCCACTGGATGAGTCAAAGCTGTGTTGGGTAATGGATGGTGGAAACATTTGTGGGCAGTTTGTCATCTCCTCCTCCCCCTGCTGCTGCTTTCTTCTCTCTCTCTGTGGAAAGTCCAGGAGCGCCGAGCTGCCGTCCTGGAAAGCTGAAAGTCAGAGATCCCTGTTTTACATCCTTACTAAAAGTGAAAGTGAAGCAGCCTCCATAGCAAACAGAGGCTCTGCACCATTTCATGGGCGGAGTCCACACGCCGCCACAGAGGAGCCGTCCCACCGTACGCATCCATAGACCAGCACCTGCGGGAGCGTCTCCAGAGCACGAAGCGAGTTTTTAAATCAGAAATAAATCCAGCATCATCCTTTGGCATCATAAGGAAGGCGGGGCTCTTCCTCGGCTTCTGCCGTTTCTCGCAGGTACCAGTGATGGCCACTCCCAGCTCGCTCCTTGTCAGCGAGCAGCGTTGTTGCCTTTTACCCCCAAACATCTCCTAAAACTGACCGAGGCGCTCTTAGTGTCGAACCACATGAGCAGCAGCTGGCAGGTAGCCGCTCTCCAAACACAGCACCAACCTCTGAAGCAGGTTCGGCACAGCCTGGCTCTGTTTGTGTGAGCCGGGTTAACAACACCTCAATCCCGCGATGGTCGTTGGTTCTTTGTGTCATCGGTCGAGCGCTGAATCGGCAGGAAAATCTGTGACACTAACAAAACTACAGTTAAAAGTCCAAACTTTAACCCTGCTTCACTCTTACCACAGCTGTCCAGTGGGCCAAATTAGAGTGTTTGTCCGGCCAATTCTGGCCCCTGGACCTTATGTTTGACACTCCTTTGATGGCCGACCTGCAGCTGTTAGATGATGACAAACTTACTTAGAAATCAGCGACTTTATCATCACCGTCGGTCGTTGGATAAGCTGTTGTCATAGAAACAGTTTGTTTACACATCTATTTTCTTATCAGCTGTTTACGGTAAACAAACACGTTTGTGAGCGAGTGTGGAACCTGTTAACCCCGGTTACAGTGTAACAGTGTTGAAATATCTAAAACCTTTTTTAAAGGCAAAAATTAGATTTTATTGTTTTAAAAAAGTCGCGTCGAGTCCTGGAAACAACACAGCTGATGATCTCCCCGTGACCCCCACCACCCCCGCCGCATGTTTTATGTTTGTTCTCATTAAAACGCAGCGTTCAGGGGACCCTTAGTTGCCCTTTGACGAGCTTCAAGACTTTAATAAATGTCTGATAAATAAAAGAAACTCTGTGTGTCACACTGCTGGGTCTGCTGTATCGTTCGATTTCAGCCGCTTTAATAGAAGTCACAGGAAGTGTTGTTGCCTCTCAGGAAGCTGCAGAGTTAAAAATGTGTGAACTTTTACATGGAAGTGCTGATCAGTGTCAGTGGAGCTGAGGAAGCAGCTCAGCAGCCTGTGAGCTTTCCACCGCTCACACACATCTGGCGTGTCCACGCTCCAGCGCTAACAGGAAGTCTGCGCCTTTTAAAGCGTTGCTGCAATGGAAACGTCTGAAACAACGGGCTTACCCCGAAGTTCTCCGTGTGCAGTCGTCACCTCGAAGCATGACAGTGTGTGTTTGCACGCCATGTACACACACACACACACACAAAACCCTGTTCAGTTATCTTCGTGAGGACCTACATTGACATGCTTTCCCTACCCAGAGCTCAGCTTTAACACACAAAGTTTCCATGGAAAAGAAAACACTGGGAGCCACAAATACTCCCTGACATCTAAAATGAAGATAACACTGTTATTATTTTTACCTTCATGCTTTGTATAAACAACTAAAGTGTTTTGCTTATGAAATCCATGAAGTGCTACAGAGAAAATGTCATTTTATTTCTGGAACGAACATTTTGAACTAAACTAAAAATATAACAAACTGTGGTGAG